TGGACAAAAAATTTCATCCCAATTTGGCTGGATGTCATCTAGCACAGTTCTGGGCCTCAATGCCTCATCCTGCAACAATACATCGCATAGTAAAGCAAAAGCTTTTCAGTACTGCCTAAAGAAAAAACCATCAGAAACATACATCAACTGCCAAAAGTTATACCAGTAAAAGAAGATTAAGCAGTTCAAAATGTTCTAAATTTTGAATTATCTCTACTAAGGTTTTATATAATTTACATGGTCATACAAAATTGACTAGGTATTAAAAGCAAATGGTTTTGTTTAATAAATGATAGACTAAAACAGCACACCTTATTAACCAGAAACTCAAAAACCTTTCATATGTTGTGGAAAAGCAATACAATGGTCACATTATCTGAAATGCCAGTATCATGAGGTTTTGGGTTTGTGTGTGTGTGTGTGTATGTGTTTAATGGCTTCAGGGGAAGAGAATTTTAGAGATGAGGGTGCTTCTGGGGATGGGTGAATATTTATATTTAAAAATAAAATCTTTATTTAGCCCTGCAAGTAGAAAGCAGTTCTTTATTGCTGTAGACTTAATAAGCAGTCCAAATATAAGCCTTTTGTAAATATATAGATTTTTGTGTAAAATGAGATTTTTCTGTCCTATATCACCATGCTTAAAAATATTATTTATCTCTGAATACCATTTGTGACTAAAGAAATAAGGAACGCTTGGAGAAATACTGGTTTTAGGTCTAAGGCGAGAAATGTCCAAGTTGGGCCTGGAACATTTTGTCATCCCAGAAAGCAAGGAAGTTGTCAGAGACCCCCAGGGGCTTGTCAGCAGAACTCAAACCAGCTTGAGTAAGTTCTTACCAGCTTACATCAGGAAAGACATACACTGGTGGGTTGAAACATGGATTGAAACCTACTTGCTAGGAGTTCATAATTATACTTCAAAATTTGAAACCTCATTAGTCATGTTTGAAGACTATTAGAGAACTACCTCATTGTTTTGAAAAAATAGTCAATAAAGTGAATCAGGCATCTGTTCTGTCTTTGTTAATATGACCAGTACCTCGGAGGGGAAATTTTTCTTTGTAGAGTTATGCTAGGTAATAAATAAAAAATGAATAACAGAATATTACTTTGAAGTCTCTAAACAAATATCATTAATAGCTAACAGTATCCCAAAAGGAGTCAGACATTATGTGCCTCCTGATGGAAGTTCAAACACTGCAATTAAGAAGTCCTGCGTCCAAACCCCCAATTAGAACTTGAATCATATCTGGCCTCCAGATCAAATGACCCATTTATAGGAATATAAGGAACAGAGGAATATGTCAGATGACAGCAATGGCATGCAGTGAGTAAAATCCAGATTTTGGAAACTGTACAAGACAACCTAATTCCTTCAACAAAATATACAGTTTATATATATATGTGTGTGTATATATATAAAGTACATATATATGTACATGAAATGGAGAAGAGATCTATAGATAAAAGAAATTTAAAGTACATATCAAAGAATCACAATGTATGAATCTTACTTAAGTCCACATTCAAACAAACTGAAAAAATTATAAGATATTACAATGCATATTTGATATTAAGAAATTATTTTTACTTTGAGATATGATAATGCTATTTGAAGTGTTTTCAAATGTCCTTTTAGAGACACATACTGATGTCCTCGTATGCAAAATGATAAGATGCTTGGCATTTACTTCAAAATAGACTGGCTTGGGGAATGGAGGATAGGCTTTGGGGTGAAGAGTATTGACTGTAGCTTAGATGGAGTAGACTTGGCTAATGTTGGTAACTGTTGAAGCCAAGAAGTAAATACAACTGGTTTGTTACTCTGTTCTCTCTACTTCCACATGTATCAAAAAACTTCCAAAATAAGTTTTATATATATAAAAATTTTCCAAATAAAAGTTCATACACACATTTTACATAAAGCCATGTTAAGTGTTACATGTTGCACAGAACTAGTAAAATCACAAAGTTTCAACCAGGTTAAAATATTTTAAAAAAAATTTTTGTGGGGGGGGGGGCCGCCTGGGTGGCTTAGTCTGTTAAGCGTCTGACTTTCGCTTAGGTCATGATCTTGCGGTTCGTGGGTTCGAGCCCCGCGTCGGGCTCTGTGCTGACTGCCAGCTCAGAGCCTGGAGCCTGTTTCAGAGTCTGTGACTTCCTCTTTCTCTGACCCTCCCCTGCTTACGCTGTCTCTCTCTCTCCTAGAAATAAATAAAACATTTAAAAAAAATTTTTTTTTTTTTTTTTACTAGTGTACATCTATTAGAATGGCCAAACTCTAAAACACTGACAACACCAATGCTGCTGAGGACATGCTGCAACAGGAACTCTCATTGATTGCTGGTGGGAATGCAAAATGGGTACAGCCATTTTGGAAGACATTTTAGCAATTTCTTATAAAAGTAAACATATTCTTATCATATAATCTATCAATAGAACTTTTTGGTATTTACCCAAATGAATTGAAAATTTATGTCCACACAAAAACCTGCACATGGGTGTCTGTAGCAGCTGTATTCATAATTGCCAAAATTTGGGAGCAACCAAGATGCCCGTCAGTTAGTGAGCGATACATTCACAGAGTGTAAAAGAGCTAAAAAGAGATGAGCTGTCAAGCCATGAAAAGACATGGAGGAACCTTAAATGCACATGACTAAGTGAAAGAAGCCAATCTGAAAAGGCTACATGCTGTATGATTCCAGCTGTATGACTTTCTGGGAAAGGCAAAACTATGGAAACAGTAAAAAGTTCAGTGGTTGCCAGGGATTGGTGGGAGGAAGGTATGAATCAGCAGAGTAGAGGATTTTTAGAGCAGGAAAACTACTGTGTGTGACAGTACAGTAGTGGATACATGTCATATTGTGTGACAACCCATAGAATATAGGACACCAAGAGTGAACCCTAATGTAAACTATGCACTTCGGGTGATACTGATGTATCAGTGTAGGTTCATTGATTGTAATAAATATACCAACTGATATGGATGTTGATAGTGGGGGAGGTTGTGTGTGGGGACGAGTGGTGGGGTAATATGGGAAAAGTCTGTACTTTCATTGAATTTTGCTGTGAACAGCTCTAAAACAAATAGTTTATTAATTTACAAAAGGGAAACCAATTACTCAGAACTATAGATAAAAAATATTTTGAACAAAACCTTTTCTGTATATGCCACTCTGATGAAAAGTTGGGGAAGTCGGTATCATGAAATGGTCAGAGGAGTATATTAACAAAGTCTTCTTACCCAGTTTCATAAAGGAAAGACTTATGCAGTTAGGTAGTACATATTTTTCAAATTGTTCAGATGTTTTTATACTTTTTGTGAAGGCTTTGTCCATAGCTTAGAGAGTGCCAGGCAAGGATTTCTTTTTTCTAATGAAACCTATATGAAGCCTGTTTCTGAAGTGGGTTTTCTCTAAAGCTGATTTTTAAAAAGCTTATAGCTTTTTTTAAAACAATACTTATTTCAGAGAGAGAGAAAGACAGCGTGAGCAGGGGAGGGTCAGAGAGAGGGAGACACAGAATCTGAAGCAGGCTCCAGGCTCTGAGCTAGCTGTCAGCACAGAGCCCGACGCGGGGCTCAAACCCATGAACCATGAGATCATGACCTGAGCCGAAGTCGGACGCTTAACAGACTGAGCCACCCAGGCACAGCAAAAAAAGCTTGTAGCTTACCTACTGCCCTGCTTGTGTTACGTGGGGTGGAGGCAGCAGAGGAGTACATACTTGCCTTCGGCAATTTTATTGAAAGCCTACTCTGTGTCTGAACTGAACTAGACACCAGGGGTATATACAAAGAAATGGACAAAATCCCTTCCCCATGGAGCTTATGTCCTGTGTGTCTATGAATAGAGAAAAAGAACAGGAGATAACAATGAAGCCTCCTTGATGAAATGGCATTGAGGGGAGCCTGAAAGAAATGAGGGAGAGTGCACCTCAAAACTGGGGAATGGTCCTAGCTGAAGCAACAGCAAATGCAAAAGTCTTGAAGGGGAAGTGAGTTGAAAGTGTCCAAGCCACAGTCACGAGGCTGGTCTGGATGGAGTAAAGTGAGGGAGGGTAGCCGAGAGCAGAATATAGAAAGCCGTGTAAAGCTTGGGAAGAATTTAGGATTGTACTGTGAGATGAGCAAGGACTAGAAGTTTTTTTTTCCAATTTCTTAGAGAGCACACAAGTGGGGGAGAGGGAGAGAGAGAATCTTAAGTAGGCTCCATGCTCAGAAAGGAGCCTGATGTGTGACTCAATCCCATGACCCTGGGATCATGACCTGAGCTGAAATCAAGAGTTGGACACTCAACTGACTGAGCCACCCAGTAGCCCCTGGAGGGTTTTAAATTAAGAGAAGGCATCTGATTTTTGCCAGTAGGATCACTCTGGCTGCTGTGTTGAGAACACGTGGTGAGGGGGCAAGGGTACAAGTTGGGAGGCCAATGAAAAGACTGTTGCCAAACATCAGGTGAGCATTGACTGAAGTTTGAAAATACTTGGAAAGTAGAGCCAGTAGAATTTGCTGGTGGATTGGATGTGAGGGAAAGGGAGGAGGCAAGAATGGGCGTTACATTTTTAGCCTGACCAACTGGATACAGTGGAGCTCCCGTTTACATCTCCAAAGAGGAGAGCACAAGGAGGCACCGGTTGCAAATGCTTGTAATGAAAGTACCACGAAGTTGTGTATAAAGATAAAGGTGACTGTAGTGCACACCATTAGGGGCCAGATGACTTTTTAATACACATAGATTTAAGGATGAAAATGAGACTTTAAATTACATGAGAAAAATCAGTATCTCAGAACCTAAAAGACATGGGAGTCCAGGGGAGGGAGGTGTGAGATAGTACTGCATAACAACACATGAAATTTAGTGGTATCATAACAGACATGTAGAAGAGAAAAGGCTCAGCCAAAGCAGACCTTTTTAGGGTCTGGGCCAGGGTACCTGACCTTGAAATGGGTATCTTTTATGTTCTGGAGTTAATTTTTTCCGTTTGTCTTTTTCTAGTTGGGGAATGGCGGTCAATGTGTATTCTACCTCGATAACCCAAGAGACTATGAGCAGACATGACATCATCGCATGGGTTAATGACATAGTATCGTTAAACTACACAAAAGTGGAACAGCTCTGTTCAGGTAAGAGATTATTTTATTAAGCATGTGTTCACCTAAATGTTTACTGCTATCCTGTGGAATATTAGTTTATGAACCACAGATGATACATCTTGGATGGGGAGAATATTTATCAGTACTGATACATAATTAAAGGGGGGAAAACTCAGATATAACTAAGAAATGTGTATGGGGGATGATACTGGGCATCTAAGAGCATAGAGCCGCCTCGGTGCATATTACGAATGGCTTCTGTAATGCCTTCTCATGGGTCTTTTAGCCTCTTCCCTGTCATCCTGTCAGCCACCACGCATGTATTCCTAAAACACAAGTTGGCTTATAATCCCTTCTTTTAAAAATCTTCCGGACACCACGTTGTCCTTCCTACGAGATAAAATTCATTCTTTTGCATGACTGATGAAGTCCTTTGTGTTCTTGCTGCATCCTGTCTCTGCAGTTTCTACATCTACACCACCCGCCCCCTGCCATCCTGCCTGCCCCCCGGTGCCTCAGGCCCACAACATACTCTTTGTTCCCTACAGATGGCCTTTCGAATCCCATAACTTGTTTTCATGCTTCTTTTGCTGAGAAGGTCTTTCTTCTTCTCTTCATTTGTGTTAACATCTCATTCACACTTTAAAATCCAACTCAGTTGCCGCCCTGCTGAAGGGTTTCCCAGATCTCCCGAAAACACTGTGCCCACTCTTCCAGAGTACACTTAACCACGCTGTCACTTAACCACGCTGTCAGAAGGTCCAGCTCCCACTCCCCTGAAGGGACCAGGAGTCCTTAAGGACAGGACTGTGTTTTATTCTTCGTCACATTCCTGAGGTGGCACCATGCTTGGTATGAAGTAGGTCTGCGGGGAATACGTGTCGAATTTAAGAAAAAATAAGTAAGATTTAACTTGGATGATAAAGCAAGAGCATGTTATAAAAACATGTAAAGTAACACTTTGGAAATAGGAAGTGTTTTCTACTTGTGAACTTAACAGGTAAGAGATTTCCTCTCTGGCTCTGGCATGAAAATGGTATCAGCAGGTTTAGCTGGTGCAGTGTTATCTGTGCAGCAGAAAAACAGATCCTATCTTTCCTAGTGGGTTTTACTTTTGACTTGCTGAGGAAAAGCTCAGAGTTTTATGTTAGCAGTTCCCTTGTTAATCACCCAGATCCCTTCAACCTTGTCATTGTTTGTGGTTCCATTTCTCCACAGACCTGGCACATAACTGTTTCCTCAGAAATGCTCCTTTTAGGGGGAATGAAAATCAGTTTGCAACTGCTAGGGGCAAAGACAGAAATGGGTCTTAACTCTCCGAGCGGGTGTATGCACATGTGGATAAGGGGAACGGGGTTGGTTATCAAGAAAAGAGACCAGAAGGAAGGAGTTAGGTGGTAAAGGAGCACATGAACAGCTTTCTCACTAATGACCGGGGAGAGGTTTGCAAGCAAATACAATGAGGGGCCATTTAGGATTTTTAGATAGGGTCGTAATAGATGTTTGAGCAATGTATGTAATTTCTTTGCAGACCTTTCAGATTTCTAATAAGGCAAATGCAAAATTTTAAGCAGAATTTTTGAAAGATTCTTGTGCACTTATCTTAAAGCATCGGTATGCATTTTACAACCGGTTGTAGCTACCTTGCTATCAAGTGTGGCTTGATGACACCTGTGGAAACCATTTTGCTCACCACTGAACAGATAATTTTCATTAAGATGACACCCTGGCTACCTAAGGTCACAAGGTTGATGGTTTGTTCAAAAGAATAAAGTAGATTTAAAGGTTCCTTTCTGCTCTGAGACAGGTTTTACTATAACCTCTGGAGTACAGAGTACAGAGAGTGTTTGTTTTGTTTTGTTGGCTTAAATCATGTTAATTCGTATAGTACAGAGGAGGTCTTTTTTTTTAAAGCAGTAGTTTCCTCAAACTGTGGACCATGTGCATTTATCATCTCCTGCGAGGCTGCTTAAAAATGCAGATTCTTAGGATCCTCGACCTTGTAAACCAGTTATCTCCGGATGTGAAGCCTAAAGTCTGCATTTTGAACAAGCACCCCACGTACTTCTGTGTTGTAGCCAAGAGCTTGCAATGCATTTTAGAGAAACCCCAAACCACTGAAAATGAAGTTAAAATATCCAAAACCTATCAGGCACAGTTTCCTCATTCATAATTTAGTCTGTGACTTTTCAGCAGTGGCATTTAGCAGGAAGATGCTATCTTTCTACTTATTTATTTATGAATTTATTTATACCCTTCATTGTTCTAGAAAACATTTAAGACAGCTAGGACAGTGCTATTAGGACAAGAACAAATAAATACTGGTGACCTAAGTGATTTCTCCTCATCATACTTAAAAGTAGTCAAATTCTTGGATGGTATTTTTCTTTTCAACTTTTATTTTGATTACTTCAGTTTACTGAGTGTGGTTGTATTTTAGCATGCTGTGGTAAAATATAAAATAATTTCACGTTATTTATGGGGCACCTGGGTGGCTCAGTTAAGCCTCTGACTTCCGTTGAGGTCATGATCTCACTGTGTGTGGGTTCGAGCCCCATGTTGGGCTCTGTGCTGACCGCTTAGAGCCTGGAGCCTGCTTTGGATTCTGTGTCTCCTTCTCTCTCTGCCCCTCCCCTGCTTGTGCTCTCTCGCTCTCACTCTCAAAAATAAATATTAAATTTTTTAAAAAAATAATTTCATGTATTTAAACTGTTTTTTTTCTTCTTCAATAAAATTTTTTTGCCAAAGACTTATGCTCTAATTCTGGCAGTTCTCTTTTGGCATTTTCCCCCCATTTGCATTGTTTTCTATTTCTTTTTTTATTTCCAGCTAAAAGATTTCCATCCAGCTAATATTAAAACAAATGACACCTTTTCTTTAGCTCATAGAGAAGTAACATATGACTTCATGTTTGTATGCCTTTTTCTTCAGAAATTTCTGCCTTCATATAGCTTTTGTTTCCTATGTAATTGTTTTAAAAGCTCTTTAAAGAAGAGGTGGTGTGAGAAGGCCTAACACTTGGAAATAGATTGCAGTAAGTTGCAAAACAATGAAAGTGACTCACTCTTATCTCCTGTTATTTTATCCCAGGGATGTAACCTTATGAAAGTTTGCTTTGAACAGTAAATCTGGGGAGGTGCTTGGGTAGCTCAGTTGGTTGAGCATCCAACTTCAGCTCAGGTCATGATTTCACGGTTCATGGGTTTGAGGCCCACATTGGGCTCTGTGCTGACAGCTTGGAGCCTGGAGCCTGATTCAGATCCTGTGTCTCCCTCTCTCTCTCTGCCCTTCTCCCACTCAGGTGCCCGCACACTCTCTTTCTCTCAAAAATAAACATTAAAAAAATTTGAACAGTAAATTTGGGTCATGTAATCATATGCATATTTAGTTTGCATTCACTTATGAAAAGCAACCTTTATGTCTCAAGTAAAAAATTAGGCTGTATAAAATAGAGAGCAGTGTATCAATGGATGTGAATACTACCTGGAATAACAGGACACTATACTGTTCACCTAAATCTGTTTTAAAGATGAACAATATTTGTAGCTTTCCCCACAGTTGAATTAGGAGAGTGAACCACATGAAATACCAGGTTGATTCAGCTTCAGAATACTTTGTTGTATACTTGAGTTGCTTTGCAAAATTCCTAGTGCTTTTTGTCGGGTTGAGATACCTTTTTTTTACTTTAATACACAGTTCAGACCAGTGAACTAAATATTATATAAGGTACTGCAGAGCGAGGATGGTCAGGATGGTGCTAAAAATCCCTAAAAACAGCTCTAACAACTTGAGATAGCATGTTGGAGGTGACAGAAAAGGTAGCAGACTATATGGAGGGGAGGAGTGGAAAAGAAATGGGAAGAAGAATTTGATTGGGGTGGAAGAAATGTACCTTTTCCTCTCCACCCCTCTTCCCCTGTTCTAATACATCAAATCTCCTTTGAAATGCTCTTTTGGCATCCATTTTTGTGTCGCCATTCTCTCTTATCAACTGGGGTCTAAAGCAGCAAAGCCATTGGGTCCACTGCTGAGTCACTGCCTATGCTTGGCCAGCAAGCACGTGACCGGTGACTCTCCCATACCTCCAGAGCCTAGTGCAGACTGCCCTTTGCTCTCTGTGCAACCTTCCCTTCCTCCTCACCCACTTCACAGGACAGGCAAACCACTGACTTTTTGCAGGTTCAGAGCTACAGACCCCAGTCAGGTGGACACTGCCTGTACTGTCACCACCATACTGGTTAACAGCTCATTTATCTTCCTCAGCATTTTAGTATTTTAGCAAAATGTAATTTAAATTAAACGGGTTTTTTCCAATGGAAAATTTAGGTATTTTCTTCACTAGCTTAAGAAGAAAGAAAAATGATCAGTATTTGATTGAGGTTTCAATTTGCACTTCTCCAAATTGTTTCAAGCTCTGTCTTGGATCAAGTGTCTGGTATTTTTCCTCTTCTGGGAAAACTTCTGGATTCAGCTGGTCATATTGCAGTCATAGTCACATTTACAATTCTGGGTCCTTGATGGCTCTGTGGAAGGAGCGGAGGCTTCACAGAAACACTCTGGGATTCACAAAAGGTGTGGCTGTCTGCCATGCCCCGGGGCCTGTACAGGTGCTGTGAACCTTAGCAGAATATTCTACGTGACCATTTTTGGCTGCGATCTGTGCCTGTTAAATAGGTTAATCCCATCCTAGTGTGGTGTCCCCTGTGCCTTCTTTCTTCTGTCCGCAGAGACCTCTTTCAGGAGGACAGGTTAGTGATGAAATCAGCTCAGAGTCTAAATTTAGTAGACCTTCTCTTGTTGGCTCTCTTGAACTGAAACCAAGTAAGGATATTTTATCAGTGTCTGATAGCTCAAGAGCTTACTTAGCTTTATAGCATCAGACTATTATTTGCTGTAAGAAATTGATGTCATCCTGGATTGTGTTATGATTATAGATGCACTTATATTATAATGCAATATTGTTCATATTGGTGATGTATTATGTAAAGAGGTAGGGGTTTGGTTTTTGGTTTTGGTTTTTTTTGCTTGTT